ACATTAACCATCTGAATATCTTATGCCCTTCAATATTGGGATGCACTTTTTATTTATTTATTTATTTATTTTTGTAGCATCTCAATATCTTATGCCCTTCAATATTGGGATGCACTTTTTTCTTTTTTGGGTTCTTCTTTCCGATATATAATTAAACCTAACTTTATGTTTTTGGTTAAGGAATTATATGTTTCTTGAGTAAGGATTTAATTCAATATTTCTCTATCATATTCTAAAAAAAAAAAAAAAAAATTTAAAACATTGGAGAACTATAAACATCACAAAATTCAATGTTTTCCTACCATATTCTTCTTCAATTTGAATTTTGCTCTCTGGAATGAATTCAAGGATATATTCAAAGTTTTATATTTTTACGGGAAAAAAAAAAATTAGGATTATGCTTGCTGAAAGAAAAATAAAAAAATAAAAAAATAATTTATTTGGAGTAATTCATTTTATTAAATTATGAACACACCCCAACCTTGAAAAAGTGGAAAATGAGGTGAATCTGGATTATTTTGTTCAATTTTTTAGAAAGAAAAAAAATGAGGCAAAGAGTAAATTCAATTTCTTAGATTGAATTGGCATGTGAAATCATCTTGAGTGAGTAATCTTGCGTTGGGTAAATAATGAGTGATCGTCACTTTGGTGAAGAAATTGCAACTAAGTGAAAGCTCCCATCCTCAACTGACAAACCAAATCCCACCACCACCGCATCCACCAGCATAACCGTGCCGGCTGTTGATTAATCCCACCTATGGCTGTGAATAGGTGATGGTTTTACCTGTAGGCTGTACTGTGTCTGTGTTCTCTCTGTATCGTCTTTGCTATGGGACTGAGCTGTGTTGGGCTTCGTTTATGAATTTGTTTAGTTGGGCCAAATTGTGGACATTTTTTTTAGGAATAATTTTAGTGACACCCAGCAGTAGTTTGGCCAAATATCAGTTTAAAATATCTTTCGAAAATAACTATTACTTAGGTCTATTTTCGATTTTCCGTCACAGTCTCCGTTAAAAACATGTGAAAGACAACTTTGCCCCTATTTTTTTAATAACATTTATTTCAAAATATCAAATTAGTTAAAAGACAATTATACCCCGACAATTATACCCATCTCTCCGACGATGTCAACCCCTCTTCGAATGAGCATTGGGTAGATGGAACTATTGGCCGTCGTGGTGGTGGTGGGTGGTGGTTCCAAAAGTTAAGGCTTTTTTGGTAGTGGGTGGTGTGTTGTAGAAGAGAGAGAAAGTGTATAGAGAGATTGGTGGTTGGTGGTCGGTGATGATGAGGTGATGGTGGTGGTGGTGGTGGTGTCGCCGGCGACTGTGGTTGCATAACCCAAATCCATTTTTGTTGTCAGGTGAGGTTGAGGCGGGGGTTGGAAGCGGTGGAGTGGTTCACAGCAGAAACTTCAGGCGACAGAAGCGGCAACATGGTTTAGGGCGGCGACGATGAGGACGAGTGCTTGTCGCCGAGAGAGAGAGCGCGAGCTGAGCTTCTTTTGCTCGCCGGCCGCAGTCCGAAGCCCCCTTGCTCGTCGGCTACAGCCGAGCTCGGTGGACTGAATCGGTAGTGAGAACTATATATATACTGATTATCTCGGTTTGACAGAACCGGTGAGGGGCGACTGGAGGAGGATTCGCGGGACTTGGTAGCGAGTGGATTAGCGGGAGAGTTGACAACTCCAATTCAGCAGTGAAGAGCTCGGCTCGGCGGTGGAGTAGCGGCAACGGCGAGCTTGGAGATGAATAGCGAAGACGGCTGTGAGAATGTTGATGGTGCCGGCGAGACAGATCCGGCGGCGGCAGATCCAGCGGAGATGACTGGTTCGGCTGTGGCTGTGATGAGCTTTGCAAAGAGGGAGATGACTCGGTCTTGGAGATCCGGCGAGACAGATCCGGGTCTTGGATTTACAGATCGAACCGGATCGGCGGAATTTGGGGATGGATGAGGAGCAGAATCAGAAGAAATCTAGGGCGAGGGTTGTGGATTTGAGGACTTCTGAGGATTCAGAGGGGGTTAGAGTTAGGGTTAGTGTTTGGAGGTAGTCGGAGAGGTCGAGGAAAGGGTCTGATGATGAGGATTGGAGGATCCAAGCGACCTTGTAGATGAGGTCGCGGCGAGGGAGAGGGTATCCTCGAACATCGGTTTGGAAGGTGGGAGAATCGACTTTGACGGCGAATGAGCGGTCGTTGTCGGATTCAACGACGACTCTGCCACTGTATTTGGTGGTGGTGTTGCGCTTGTGTGTGTGTGTGTGTGTGTATATATATATATACATATATATATGTCTGTGTGTATATAGCAGTATACATATGTCTGCCTGTATATATACTATAATTTGTAAATTTACAAATTTTTAAGGGGCTATATTGTCTTTTAATACTGATATTTTGTAAAAAAATAAATTAAAAAAATGAGGGTCGACCAAAGTCAGGGTCAAACCAAAGTCAAAGGGTAAAAATGACTTTTTATATGTAAAAAGTGGTCTGACATACCTGTAAACTAACTTTTGGGGTGTGAGTGAAAAACGGAGTAAACGTTTGTAATGTGAGTGATAGTTATTTTCGAAAGATGTTTTAGAGTGATATTTTGCCAAACTACTGGGGGTGTCAGTGAAATTATTCCTTTTTTTTTTTTTATCTTTGTTTTGCAACTTGTGTTACATGCACTTTGTTGGACCTGGGAATGCTCCGTATATCTTTGTAATTTTTATTTTTATTTTTATTTTTATATATAATAATAAATAATGACATAATTGTACTTATATTAAAACACTAGTTACGATTTTGTCTTTTCATTTAAGCTGTGTTTGACGGAATTGATGGAATTTGAGAAATTTTTTGTTCAATTTTTTGGGATACTTTTCTTCAATTTCATCTATTCCAATTCGGATGCTCCAATTTCATGCTTACCAACCATAGCCTTGATAAAGTACAAGCAAATAAATAAAAAATGAATGTCATATCTGGACAATAGGTGAAGAATAATGCTTGCCTTAGGTCGCATGAAAAGATACTTCCTTCTTATGATGAGGTGACTCAATAAAATATTAACATGTGTTTAAGTTTTAAAAGAAAAAAAAAATGATAGATTACAGACAATAAAAACTTTAAGAAGTATCTAAATGCTATTCAATCGGCTCCTCCTGCAAACCACTGGCTTACAAGCTCCATGATATCGTTTCAAATTTTGACTCGGTGTCATGGATCTGGAGTTGAACCCATTGGTGGAGCTGTAAAACGACACCACCGAATGCTAGCGTTACGTTATTTGAATGATGATTATATATTTGTGCTTGCTTAGATCTACTATAATCTCAGTTCCGCATAGAGATTTGAATACAAAATCTATGTTAGGGCACATAAATTTGGTTTATTTACAGAGTTATATGAATTTTGTGTCTATTTATTGATAAATTCATGTTTGCGTCTACACGTATATATATATTTGTAGTTCTGGTTTTCACACCGACACTCTTCATCTTTTTTGAAAGATGATTTTGTGTTTGTTTACATTATCTCTAATCTCTGTTCCGCACCGAGATTTGAATACAAAATCTATGTTAGGGCACGTAAATTTGGTTTATTTACACTATTGTATGAATTCTGGATTGTAATTTTGGGCCTATTGACTGATAAAGTACACACAAATACGCGCGCGCACACACATATATATTTAGTTCCGGGTTTTCACACACATACACTGTTATATTGAATTCCATATGCTGCTTTTGATTCTGAGGTATTTTGGTCTAATTTTTGTTTAGTTGACCTGTTTCTTAGCTCGAATATAATGACAGCGGCCTTTGAAGGAAACAATCCGTTTGATCACCCATGCTTTGATAGGTCTTTTTTGTTTGCTGCTACACGTATTTCCAAGGAATAGCACTCTGGTTTTTTATTTGGAACGATAGCATAGAGCTAGTACGCTGGCGGCTTTTAGGAGGTACCAATTGAATAGTCTATAAATAATTTTTGAAGCTTTTATTATTTGTAGTCATTATTTTTATTGATATTTTATTGGGCCACTTCATTATAAGAAGGCGGCCTAAGTCAAACATTGTTGCATTACCTAACACCTTCAGACATTGAATGGAAAATAGATTCCTTTAATGTATATAAATTAAGTTAGCATATATAAGAATATGAAGTTAACAATAACGTCAATATATATATATATATATAATAGTAATAAAAGAAGAGAGAGAGAGAAGTTAATTTATTGATCATTGTTGTTAGATTGAACATAAATGCACCTCCGGATGAGGCTCTACAGCTGCAACTCTCCTCATTCTTGATCTTCTGAAGATTCTAATAGCAGGTATTAAACCAAGGATGGCTTCGAAATGCAAAACCAAATCCCAACTCCCGAGCTTTTAACACTTACTGTTTAAGTATCCACCTTGTTTAAATATTGGTTAAAAAGTAAAATATGCATGATACATCATGCATTTTGATAAGATGATCGAGTTATTGCATATTAAAGTACAATAAAATAAAATAAAAATAAAGGAATTTTTTTTTTGCATGATCGACAATACATAGATGATGTATTATTGTGCTTGAATTCCAAACCAAAAAAAAAAAACACAAAGTGTGGGAATTAATGGTTAAGCTTGAACGATCATTTGGCTTTAAAATTATTTCAATACAATCACTACTATGTCTTGATTGTATGCATTAGCTAAATGAGGGACAAGAGAGAGAACTTCCAATGATTTGTGGGACCTCAATTACCTACAGTAATTTGCAGGCTCTGTTATCTTTACCTTTGTTTACAAGCCAATTGATAAATAAAGAGTATTTATACGTATTAAGAGCCTGTGGGCTACTTTCAAAGACAAAACAGAAACTATAGTAAAAGCCAACATTATTAAATATGATGGCATCGATCTTCCTAACAAAAAATAAGACTGAACATGTCCAATTTTTAGACTATATATCATTTTTCAAGAGACCACCTGGCATCAGATTTGAAGAGTTACGAGATCCTAGCTATTTAGGCACAGCTTGAGTTTTACAGATGGGGCAAATATTTTTGTTCTTGAGCCACCGCTTTATGCATTCAATGTGGTACAAGTGCCCACAATCCAGCTTCCCCATTTTATCATCTTCTTCATATTCCTCCTGTATATATATATATATATTGCAAAACACCAAGAAAATTTAGAAAAGAAACTTATGTAATGAGTAGAAGGTAGTAATTAATTATGAAATATCAACCTGACAAATGCTGCACTTCCTTTCCGTTTCGGTCATCGTTGTGGGTGGCGGCAAACGGTATTTCATGATTCTCATCTTGGTTTTCCTTAGCCAGGAGAGTATCTCATGTTCTCTCAATCCAGTATTCACATACCCAATTCTATCTCCAAGCTCAACCAGTTGCTGTTCCCACAACTCACAATATCAATATGGACCACTACAACTGCATGCACACTAACAACAATTTCGTCCTTTTTGCCTCAAATTATTTAGCCATATGTATTATATATGTACGTAATATCAACAATTGACTAAACACACAAATTTATTTTATTATTCAATTATTTTATATAATAAGAGCTAACAATTGAGTTCACTATAAATATATGAGTTGTGAATTTGGAAGAGAATTAATTAAGAAAGAATTTTTTGCAGGGAAACAAATTAACTTTTTTTCTCTTTTTTTTCCGTAGTTAACCCTCAACCAATCTATCTATTTCTCTCTCTTAGTCTGAAGAATAAAATTTTTAAGATGAGGCTATTCCAAAGCTCAAAAATATGATATATATATATACCCCGCTTCCGGGGGAAGCGCCCGTTGACCCTCTCACGGGGGACGCCGGCCGTCTTCCCCGAAAATAAAAATAACGAACCCCGGCGCGAACCGCGCCAAGGAACATGAAAAGACAGAACTAAACATAAATAAATAAAATAAAAAATAAAATAAAATCTCAAATAGAATGAAATAGGTCACGATATATCAATGACAAAGGATGAAATACAGGTGGAGAGAGAGTTATAGATTCTTCTAGGGTTAACCAAAAGAGAAAGAGACAGATTCTTTGAAGGTTGATCAAGAAAGAATGTGAAGAGAAGACAGAAAAATCCTTAATTGCGAAGGATTCTTAATTAATTTTCTCTCTCAAATCTCTAAAAATAAGAATTGTGTGGTTTATAAGCCTCTTTAGACTTTTTGCAGCGCTCTGACAATAGAGCTACTCTAAATATTTTCAACCAACTTTCTTGATATTAATCTAAAAATAAGAATTGTGTGAGTATTTTCTTATAAATTTTTTTAAAAAATCAATCATACTAACCAAAGAAAATCAAATTTCTTTTTATTTTTTTGCTATTTTCATCTAACAAAAATATAATTGGAACAAAACTGATCCAAGGTAAAATAAAAAAAATAGGCTCACCTCGTACGTCATGTTATCAACGTCGAGTCTCCAGTCCCTAAATCGATCGAGTCGGCCTGATCTTCCTCCCATTATAGGAGACTATTTTGGAACATCACGATCTGTGCCCATAAAACACTCTTTAAATAACATATCTATAATATCATATAATCTAAACTACATCAAGAATTGCATATAGGCTAAAACCACAACACACACACACACACATATAATTGAGATGAATTTAGCAGAAAAATTTATTAAAAGGAAACTATATATTCTGATCATCAGTTCATCACCTTGTTTCCACCTTTTTTTTTTTCTTTTTCTTTTTGTCTCGGCCTTTTCCTTCTTACTGTACTGTATATACTTCTGTAATATCTCTGTCTCTGGTATTTTAATATTTGATGTGTTTTATTTCACTATGGAGATTGGAGACTCTCCGTATTCTACTTTTCTCACCTTATCTCTATCCACTCTCTCTTCCTAATCCTATCTCTCTATTATTCTCTCCTGTTTTTTTGTATTAATACCACATTTATAGTTATACAGTGGCGTTCAATTGCTCCCTGAAGAGCATAATCTTGAGCTTATAATTTTATCCTATGATAATTAATTAATTAATTTTTTATTTTTATATTTAAGGCAATTTCATCTTTTATTTATTTATTATTATTATTTTTTATTACCATTATATATTATTAATAGGAAATGACAAAATTAGATATGTTTTTAATAGAAACAAATTAAAACCAAATTAGTTAAGATTTTCTTGTGTACGAATTCCTTTCCATCCGAATTCTCCAAGCATATCAATTAAAAATAAATAATTAATTATTTCCAATTCCCTTCGTTCCTATCCGTTCAGTCAGATAATTCTCAAAACATACCAGTTGAAAAATTAACGCACAATCGTCCCATTTTCAACCTTGTAATTAATTTACCTTACTGAATAATCCAATTACAAAGGAATATTGTACTCTCAAAATATGTTTATTTGTATCATCAAATCATGTAACCCAATATATAAAATATGAAAGAGAAAAGGAATGGACCATTCAAAGTTAATGGGATTGGAAATTTCATTATTTTTATTTTTTTCAGATGTGGTCAAAGGAATTGGAAATAATTAAATTTTTTTATTTTTAATTGGTATGCTTTAAGAATTCGGATAGAAAGGAAATCCTCAACAATTTGGTTTTAATTTGTTTCTATTAAAAACATGTCTAGTTTTGTCATTTGCTATTAATAATATATAATGGTAATAAAAAAAAAAAAAGCAATTGCCTTAAATATAAAAATGAAATAGTGATTAATTAAATACCGTAGGATTAAATTCTAAGGTCAAAATTAAGAGTTAGTATACTATTCTATATTCACCAGGAAACAATTGAACGCCACTACATAGTTATATATTTGTATCTAACTATCTAATCTTCATATACAATGTAGTTAGACATATCCTAACTACGTTGAACCTGCCAAAAAATAAAAATAAAAATAAAAACTGCGTTCAACCAAAAAAAAGTTATACATGTCCCAACTAGGATAGCAATTGCGACGCATTGATGTTAGTTGCTTCCTTTTAATAAGGACACAACAAAATAAATAAGGGACTGTTTGGATTGAAGTAACTGGTAGGAAAAGAAAAAAAAATACTAATTCATTCTTTGCTCTCGTAACCGTTATTTGCAAGACTAATTGGAAAATCTTAAAATTCGATTTTTTTTAGCCAAACGGAAAAGAAGCTGACTGAAAGTAATAGTCTAATATTCTAATCTGATAAAGTTCTAATTCTTCATTAGTACGAATGTGTGGTTAAACTTTGTAATCAGGCCAGTAATTGCACCGCTTTTATGTCGAGTCAAAAAAATTGGGAGTATTGAATCGATGCATTTGATTTGGTATTAAAAAAAAAATTAGTTTAATTTTTTATTGCAAAAAATTGGAGCATTAAAATTAAAATTAAAAGAATTAGAGAAAAACAACTAAGGAAATTGAACCAAAATTTTCTTAAATTTGACCAATTTCAATTCCAATATTCAAATTCCATGCATTCGAATACATCTTTTGTTCTAAATTCACAACGTCAGTGTTGTTTCCCCAAATTAGTTAACGAACTTAATTAAAATTAGAAAGTACAACGTGAAGAAGTCTATAGTCTCGCTTCAAATTTTAATAATGGTTGCCCTTAGTGAATGTTATTTGGATTACAAATTTTGGATCTAACTACAAATTTTTTTCCTGTGGGATCATAGAAAGTTTGAATTTTTTTTGGGTTATTTGCGCAAAAAAAAAAAAAAAAAAAAAAAAAAAAAAAAAAAAAAAAGAAGGGGGTTATGAATGGTTCCTAAGTCCATTGTACAAATTAAGAACAATTAATTAGGTGTACCTAATCAAGTGTTGAGTAAATCACAAGATATATATATAATTATTATGTTCGTACGGTGGATATTAATTGGTCTCCTTATTAAAACGCAGGAGACAAAATAAATGCATGTCCTGCCAATATATATGGTGCCACAGGACTCGCCACACAACATGGTTTCAAACTGTCAATCCTTTTGTTGGGGATCTTCATTGCCCGGTTAACGTTTTCTGTAAGTTGGCTAAGACTAGTGTGTGTGTGTGTGTGTGTGCGTGCTATATATGAGTTCAAGTTTATTCTATTTTTAATGTCAAATGGATGCTAACATGACTCATTTATTAATTTATAAAATCACCACCTTGTAATATTCTAGTTGTATTTTGTTTTTTTTTTTAAAAAAAAATTTAAGGTGGAATGTTAAAGGTTCCAGTCCTAGTTAAGTGTATTATTTTTCTAGACAATGTATGTGTATTAAAGCCCCATTTAAATGGAGTGCTGAAAACAAAAGATTATGGGGATACCCTATCCCAATGTTAAGTATCATTTTTTGAAAAAAAAATATATATTTAGACTATTTATTCAAAAGTTAATTAGTATAGCTAAATATCCATGTTATATAATGTAAATTATCCTTTCCATGTAACAAAGAATAGTTTTCATATATATTTCACTTATTTTCAAATAATTATGCAACAAAAAATTAATAAGAAAGTTAAAATAAAAATCCGAAACGCTAATAAGTTCATGTTTAATTAGATATTTTCGATGAAAATCCCATATTCGTGTCTTGGAAAACCATGTGTTTAGAAGATTCAACCTTGATGAATATGAATTTAAAGTATGCTATGTATATTGCTATGAGAATCCTTTGCCTAGGCAAAAATAATAATTGCACAAAGAATCGCCTTCCTAACTAAATAAATCTTGATGGTCAACATCATTTACCATTCCATTTACTTGATATATATATATAATTGTTGGTTTGTGCATGAAAGTATGTTACGTATTATATATATATGGGTAACCTTGAAGCTACTCCATCTAAGGTGAGTGACTATGATTGACAAAAAAAACTTTATTGCACCAAACATGATCGATGATGAAGGTCTGTCTATAAATGGGAAAACTGTTGCATTCATTGTGATGGAGGAGGCTGCAAAATATTTTATGGGCCTCTTTCTTGCTTTGTTATTTTGTGATGTAACCTCCCATTTTAGTAGAGTAGTTTGTTTTCTAAGAAATTATGGGCTACTTCTGCTTCACATGCTTAACATTTATTTATTTATTTTTTAATCATTGCAAAGTCTCAAATATCAAGCCATCAATGGCGGTAAAGAGGCAAAAGTTAAGTCAGAAAGTGCATACAAATCTTGAAGTAAAAGAAAAAAAAAAAAAAAAAAAAAAATGAAGAACATGTTCCAGATTTATGGAGAACAAGAGTCAAAACTTTGCAATGGAAACCACCAAAGGAGAATTGCAGTAACAGGAGTGACCCAAAATTCTAGTCAGCATCAAGGTAGCAGTTTCAAAGTTATATCCACAAGGCCCACCGACGGGGGGAAGACCACTCAAAACCTCGCACAGGATCAAATCACGGAGAAAAAGATCATCAAGTCAGGGACAACCAAAACTGACATTGATTGGAGATCTTGTCGGAGAGAAAACAATAGATCCGTCCATGCGAGCCGAAAACGAGCCAAACATGAGCAGATCTAGTCGAACAAAAATAAAAAAGACGTAAAAAATATTCACAGAGTGCACTTATTGAAACACATCAAGTTTATTACAGCAATGGGAGACAGAACATTACCCCTCCACTTCCATGGAAGGGAGCAAGGAGAAAAAACAGAGGAGAGGGTCTGCTGCGTAGAGGAGAAAGCTCAGAGAGAGAGAGAGAGAGAGAGAGAGAGAGAGAGAGACTTCTTTCACATGCTTAACTCGGTCTTTGAAATTTCTTGCTTGAGAAAGCTCAGAGAGAGAGAGACTTCTTTCACATGCTTAACTCGGTCTTTGAAATTTCTTGCTTTTTTGTTCAAAACTTATTGCTTTTTTGTTCACATTGATGGAGATGGGAACTTACCTACCCAATTTTAAATGAATATACATATCTATGATAATAATTGACAAACATAATTATTGATTACTATTATAGAAACAAAACAAAATAATTACCTATAACAAATAATTATTATATATTATATATTATTTTTATTACGAAGAATCCATTTATTTTCTAGTTACTTTGAACACTCGAATGACTTGCGAACTCTGAATGTAATTTTGGATGTTTTTTTGCATGAGAATTAATTCTGAATGTAATTTACTTGTAAGCCATACATATTATTTAAGTTTGGAGGTTTTTCTGCATGGAAATTGATTTTAGGACGTTTGAATTTACGATTTGACCTAAGAGACCTCTTATGGAATGGAACAGATGGGAGTTAAAACAAATGAAATTTAATCCATGTCCCTCTTCTTCATGTGATTTTTATATTATCACCACTATACACCTGTTATTTATTTTATGGCCACTTTCTCAACCCATATTTCAACCTTATATATTCCCTTACTTGATTAAATACTAATTATAATCGGTACAGCAACCAAAAAAAAAAAAAAAAAATTCAAACAAACGATAAATGAGAGTATTTTCTAAAGAAATGTATGTCATATGTTTCGAGATTGTTAGGTTAAGTATATGCCTTTATCGCATAGAAATTGTTCTTTTATTTCGAATTCGGTAGAATAACTTTATTGTTGCGTCAATAATCATCTCGTATATGCGAACAATAAATATATATAGCAATAAGTCGGTATCTTATTCATTTAAGAAATTAAGTTTTGATGGAGTTTCATGTTTAACTGAATGAATCAACCTTTAAACAAGTCCATTCATTAATTTTGGCACTAATTAAATGGAAAAAACCTAACAAAAGGGACTTAAAACAGGAAGAGTCCGTGTCAAAGAAAAAGCACCATGGAAGGAGTGTCCATGGCGTGCTAGTGGGCAGGTAGAGGAAGACAAAAGGCCCCATTCTAACTTTTATAAAAGCAACAGAAAAATCAGCCCTTTTCTGAAAATCAAGACTATCCAAATTGTAGGCCCTACTCATCTTGTGCTTTATTTGAGATTGTGATCATCTATCTACCTATACATACAGCTCAAGCTTTGCAAGGCTCATACGTGTTAGAAGGTGGTTGGTTTTTTGTGGTTATAAAACAAGATAGTCCAACTATATTTTCTCTCTCTTCTGACTTTTTATGCCTATGGCCAATGAATATATCCACAACCCCTTCAAGCTCCGGAAGGTTTAAGCATATATGATCACCATTTATTTTTTTAGGCAGCTAATAACATTTTTATTTTTAAATGTACTACTAATACTTTGTTTGGGAACATTGTCAGTGAGGACCTTTCTGGTACCAAACAATATCCCGGACTTCTGTCACTCTCTAAATATACAATTGGAAGTCAATTTATATATATATATATATATATATATATATTGCGAGCAAAAGAATTTGAGAATTGCGATACGGTTTGAAATTAATATAACCAGTGACTCAAATTAAACATATGGTATTTGTATTTGATTTACGAACAGATTTATAATCTGTTCATGTTAGTAATAATTACCTTAACTTAATGTGTCCAACAAATGTGTGGGAGTCCATATTAGAAATGACTAATTTGACTACACGCATCATATAAATGTTTCGTGTTGACTTAACTCTAATGATATGAAACTTTAATTAAACTTGACTTATTGTGTTCTTCTTGATTTATTTATTAAATGAGTTACTTGTGTTGTGTTATGTGATGCTACACTTTTAATAATTGTACTATGATTATGTCAATGTTTCTTGACACGAATAATAATTGTATTCCGTATCAAACGAAATATAAATATTCGGAGACAACAACTTCTCATCATAAATTGTCACTCCTGTGCAATCCACACTTAGGCCGCTACCTCCAATTTGAAAGGGCCTCAAAATTTTAAGTTTCCTTATATAAGTTATATTATAATTATTTCTTAATATTGTTAAAAACTAATTAATATAAAATTTTAATACTAAGCCTCAAAAATGTATATCCTAAAATAAAATTTTATTTTCTCTCTCATTCTCCTTCACATTTTTTTTAAAAAATTAAACTCTAAATATTGGACCCCAAAGATTTATATCCATAAATGACTTTTTCTTTCTTTCTTTTTTCTATCTATCTCTTCCTCTCTCTCCTTCTTATACTGAATCTTAATTTTTTGTTCTTTTTCTTTAATTATTTTTTTTAGTTCTATTAATTTTTGTTATTATAAATTTGTGTATGTATATATATTTCATATATCTGTATATTTTTAACAAATTTAAATACAAAAATCTAATTAGTAATTTTTGTATTTCACAAAATAAGAATGATGATTTTTAAATAAATATTATTTGATATTAAAATATTATTAAAAGGTCACTTTTTATTTTTCGTTCAAGGCCCTAAATTATTTCGAGCTGCCCTTGGTAACCTCTCAAAATCTTGAAAATCTTAGGACCCTTGCACTAGGTGAGGTTCTAAGTAAGAGCTAAAAACAAATATTTTAGAGCACCACAAAATTTAGTGCAGAAAAATGGCTAAAAATTGGTGTATTTATTTATTTATTAATTTTTATAGGAAGAAGATTAAAGGAAAAAAGAAATAGAAATCAATTTAGATACAGAATGCAGACTCTAAATTACATGCTGGTCTTGTTGATGTCGAAGTAAAGAAGAGTGCCATGTACAACAAAGGTGATAGTTAAGTTATCTGATACAATCTCATGATTATACTTTACCGACAAAGACTGAGATATTTTACTGTTTGAAGGTCAAAAATTTAAATTTTTTTAATAATTATACAGTGCATATTGAACTTGAGTCCAAGAGATCCGATATTATTCTCGTCAAAAATAAAACTTGAGGAGAACTAATGACCCATAGTCACAACAATTAAACCACTTTATATTTGTTTAATTATTGTGTGAAGACTGAAGACTAATGAGGTTTCCTAATCAGCCTCCACCACTAACTAATCCTAATTATAATTGACAGCTGTATGGAGCTTTCTAATCAATCATCATGTCTCAATATCTCACTCGTATTTTGGCGACAAATAACGCTTTATGCTATTATTTCTTACACGGTCAGATGCGGCACGTGATTCCTCCAGCTAAACACGGAGAATTATCATTCGCTAACTTTACCATTTTGCCCTGCATTTGTGGGACTAAGAAGGTTCATAAAGACTCTTAAAATGGGTATGACAAAAAAATTGTTTGTGTTACTATTACTTAATATAATGTCAAAACAGTCCGATATATTTCTAGTATTTTTCTTAGCAGGTAGCGCCCGCTGTGTAAAGTTAGGGTTGTAATTCGACTAGTTACTCATGTTTATGGATAACATTAGACTCTGTAGCAAATGAGCTGATTCTGAGTAGTATTTACCTGATTTTGAATAGTATTGGACTTAGTTCATCTAGATTCGCAAATATGAATTTGTGTATCCGTTTAGGTTGTGAATACGTGGGTTTGTATGGATTCATCAGTATAATTTTTTGTAACTTCATATAAATTCATAAATAAAGCAAAGCGATCTTGAAGGCAAGTTCAAACGATTTTTATTATTAAATAAGTCAAAGTCCAAATTTCTTAGAATAATGACAAGTCAAGTCTAAACTTTAACGTTTTAAATACTTTGAGTCTGATCCATAAATGAATGAGCTAGCACAGAGCCAGTACATGCCGCGCAGGGCACCACCCCCCAACCAACTATAATATATATAACCTTCAGGAAAAAAACTACTATAGTATTTTTTTTTTTTTTTTACATATATATGATAAAATCTATATAATGTCTCATTTAAAATTTTTATTTCCTAAAATTATCTCTCAATTTTTTTATTTCTTTTCTCTTTTGCTCTTTAAATTGATTTAATTTCTTGAAAGAAAAAGTTAAATTTTACCTTTCATACATATTCTAATATTTTCAAGTTCTTTCATTTTTCTTTTCTAAGTTATTTAATTTTATTTGCATATTATTTTACAATAATTTCTTTTATTATTTACCTCTTGATTTTCAAAATTTTGTAATGTTCATTACTTCTTTTACAGTGTGATAAGCTTAAAACATAAATTTAAAAATAGAAAATTGAGGGAAAACAAGGATTGAACTAAATCTCCTATTTTTCTTCCAAATTAGCTAGGCTTTGGAAAAATAATTAATGAAAAATGATTTTTGCACGTTACAGTGATTGCTAAATCTACTCTTTTAATTAGTTAATTATGCGATAAATAAGAAAATTAAGTCTTTCATTTAATTATATTTGGTATAAATAATTTATTAAAAATTATTTAATTAAGTAATTCATTAAAAATGTAGAGTATGAATATCACTACTCATATCCAATACACGAATTGTTATCCTTCTTCTAATTCTCTCACTTTTTGCTTCTCATTTCAAAACATAAAAAATTTCTTTCCTTGTCTTTGCAAGAAAAAGAAATAAAAAAGAACTTTGTTTTCTTTTCATTTTCTCTGACACTGCAATTCTCATTTAACGAGATATGCATAACCTCTTTAATATCATTAGCAGCAAAGACCATAAAAGCTGTTGCCACACCACTCTACTCACCAAAAAATTGATATTTTTTCAAAACCAAATATTGTACTATTAAGTACCGCTAATCTAAAATATCAAACGGAATATATATCTATGTGTGTGTGTGTGTGTGTGTGTGTATTTACGCCTCTATATCTGCATCTCCTTTAAATTTTCCTCTTTCTTCTCTGTTTATGATTTGGCTTTATCTTTTATCCACTTCTTTCTTTTGAACTTCATTGTTACTCTCTCTCTCTCTCCAACAAACTTTCTTTGTTTAATTTCTCTTTCTCTCTCTCTCTAACATACTTCTCTTTGAACCTAAGTTTTCTATTTGTGGTTAACTTCAGTCTCTCGCTCTCATTTCTGGTGATTTGCTTTCATGGGTTGTTACACATACATGGATTTACCCCTAAGCTTGCTTTAACTTTTCTTTCTTTTTTTCCTATAAATCTTCTTGATTAATCTTTCTTTATTTCTCTGTTGAAAAACCCACCATCGTACTACGGCCTGTTCCTAATTTTCTCTCTCTTTCTTGATAAACCCATATCTTGAAGTTTCTTCTTCTCTCTCTCTCCTCTCTTTCTGGGCCTTTGTTTTCTTTCTTTCTTTCTTCTTTTTTCCGAATTTCTCGTGGACTGTAGGTTTGATGAGTTCTTTGGTTTTGGGTTTTGCGTAAAACCCACTTGTGTAACTGAGAGATTGTGAAATTTGCAGTGAAAATGAGGCAATTTAGTGAATTTCAACTAGTGTGTTTATGTTTGGGAGTCTTTCTTGCGGCTTCTGATGCTTTTGCATCAAATGAAGGTATGCATTTCTGTTTATTCCACAGATCTTGATTCTAGTTCTCATAGTAATGTAATTGACTTTGGTTTCAGTAAACTCTTGGATTTTGTTGATAGAAGCACTATATTTAAGTGGTTACTTGCCAACATTCTTGCTTTTATGGCGTTTTTCTCAATGTGATTTATGGGTTTTGCACAGTGTATGCTCTCAATACCTTCAAGGAAGCTATATACGAGGACCCACTTCTGGTTTTGTCAAATTGGAATGTCCTAGATTCAGATCCTTGTGATTGGTTCGGCATTTCCTGTTCTATAGCTCGAGATCGTGTCATAAAGCTGTGAGAAATTTCATCTGTTCTATAATTTGTGTGTGTATATATATACATATATATATAGAGAGAGAGAGGGAGAGAGAGAGATAGGGTTTGGGTATCCGTTCAATTTGATGTTGATTTGATGTTAGAAATTGAGAATTCACAATGTACAATTTTAGGGCTTATTTAAGTTTCCTATCTGTGGTACTCTGTTTTGCAGAAATATTTCTGGGTCCTCTTTAAAGGGTTTCCTAGTACCCGAATTGGGATTACTCTCTTCCTTGCAAGAACTGTATGCTTACATCCAACACCTTACACTGTTTTATTTATTTATTTTTATTCTTTACAATAGACTATTTAGAACACAATGACTATAGCCTAATCTGATATCCTGATGTTTTATAGAATCTTGCACGGCAACACTCTGATTGGTATCATACCAAGACAAATTGGCATGTTGAAATTCCTCAAAGTTTTGGATTTGGGAGTGAATCAGCTATCTGGTTCGATTCCTCCCGAGATTGGGAATTTAACCAGCATTATAAAAATGTAAGTGTAGTTCAAACTTGGGTTTTATGTATTCCACTTCAATGTTTGATTCTTTTTGGTCATCTCTTATTTGTTCAGTTAATTTTCGGCATTGCAGAAACCTTGAGTCCAATGGATTGACCGGGAGGCTGCCACCCGAGTTAGGCAACTTAAATTACCTTGAGGAACTTCGACTGGATAGGAATAGGCTTCAAGGGACTGTTCCTGGGATCAACAATTCGAATTCTGCATCCAACATGCATCAGATGTAAGAAGAAGATTCTCTTGTTTGAGTCTGAAAGCATTTGTTAAAGTTTTGTAGTTATTCAACTTTTTGTTTGGATTTTTTCCGCATGCGGCCTGTTTTTTCCGCTTAAATAGTTTCCTATAGTCATGTTACTAAGTAGAAAATGAAGATGGACAAATATTTGTTTATGAATTTACTTAACGCACTGTCAGGTGGATTAATTCGTGAGCTGATCAATATATTTTATGCATGGCATAATCTTTTATCATTTATGAATATTTTTATGATGCCCGAGATGCACATGAAGTTTAAAAATTGACAGCTCTTTTGTCTTGCTATATCTGGATTTTACGATTATGAATGGATTGAACTCTGCATGAAATCTCTTAGTCAGCAACCCACACTATTTTGTTAGCTGAAAGTCCTATGAAATAAGTAGTATAATACTCCGTATTTACTAGTGGTAGATTTGCAACTTCATGTCATTGAAGGTAATAAGTGTCGAAAAATAGTTGCTGCTGTTGAGGTTAAATGTGTTGAGTCAATTTCAATATTTTCAATTGTTTTCTATCATTTTTTTTTCCTTATTTGAAACTCACACCCACTTTGCCCCATTGGGGACTCAAACCCTTGACTTTCTATTTTGGAAGGTGCGGAAGTACTACTAGGCTCCAACCCTTTGTGGTAATAGTTTTCTATTATCACTAATAAAGTTATATAAGAGAATAAATTATTGTATTTTAGTATTATGCCACTACAACAAATAGTGAAAAAGGAGGTTGGTAGTGATATATAGTCATTGTAGGCTCGTAGCATTAAGTAATAGCCAAGTTGTCATAATAGAAACTAAGTATTTACTAAACCTTTCTTTTAATGTATTACTTCAGGTATGGCTCAAGTGACAAAAATACTGGTTTTTGTCGCTCATCTCAGTTAAAAGTTGCAGATTTCTCATACAACTTCTTAGTTGGGAGCATTCCCAAGTGCTTGGAATATCTTCCCAGGTACCTTATCTGTGCCTTAGCCATACTGGCTTCTTTTTCTGCAAGCCTTTTTTGCTTAAATAATTTGCTCCATGCAGGTCAAGCTTTCAAGGGAACTGCCTTCAACACACTGATCTTAAACAGCGCCCTACGCCACAATGTGGTATGTACGGCATTACTCTCCCTATGGTCGTATAAATGCAGAATTGCCAAGGGTACATATATACATATATGAAATTTTAACAATCTATTTAAGGATGTATATTGAAAACCAACTCCGGAAAGGCATCAAACAATAGATTAAGCTCTTAGAAATGTGTATGTATCACTTGTTAAGTCAAGTGACCAAACTGAATATTTCGGAACACAATGCAATTGAAAGTTTGGTAAATGTCTGTTCTACGTTTCTGTGATAGCATTTCCATGTTGTAGAAACGTGTGATATGTTATTCCATAAAAATTTGTAATATCCACCAGTACTTCTAGGATTTGATGCATCATCTTGCCATCTAGCTATGAAAAATCCAATAATCTGCTTGACAATAACAAATTCTTATTGCAGGTGGTGCTCCACCTGCCAAAAGCCATCCACGAGTCAGTGCGAAACACCGGCCTGCTGAATCTGAATCTAAACATCAGGCCGCTTCAAAACCTGCCTGGCTTTTAGCTTTGGAAATCGTGACAGGAACTATGGTGGGTTCTCTCTTCCTTGTTGCTCTACTCACTACTCTTCAGAAATGCAATAGCAAATCTCCTATCATTATCCCTTGGAAGAAATCAGCAAGTGAAAAGGACCATATGACAATATGCATAGGTTAGCCTCTGTTATATATGCTTTATTTTTGTGTCCTAAGTTATAAGTTAGCTCTTCGATAAAGATTGCAAGTTAATTCTGTTGGGAATTTGCACAGATTCTGAGATGTTGAAGGATGTGTTGAGATTCAGCAGACAAGAACTAGAAGTAGCCTGTGAAGATTTTAGTAACATCATTGGTTCCTCTCCAGACAGTATAGTCTACAAAGGCACCCAGAAAGGTGGGCCTGAGATTGCTGTTATTTCCCTTTGCATCCAGGAAGAACACTGGACTGGGTTTCTTGAGCTATATTTTCAAAGAGAGGTAAATAATTATGAGGACTAAACCAAGCTTAAGGAAATCAGTTATTGCATTTGTTACTGCGGAGCATAATAAATTTTAGCTATTGCATGATTCAGGTGGCTGATCTGGCAAGATTAAATCATGAGAATATAGGAAAATTACTGGGGTATTGCAGAGAGAGCACTCCGTTTACAAGGATGCTGGTTTTTGAATATGCATCAAATGGGACATTGTATGAACACCTCCATTGTAAGTGGATCTTCCTTGATTTAGAACAACTGGTTACTTCAATATGTTTAGTAGGTGAAACCTGAGCTTTCTGTTTCACTGCAGATGGAGAAGGATGCCAGTTATCTTGGACACGGCGAATGAAAATCGTTGTAGGCATTGCTCGTGGACTGAAATATCTCCACACAGAACTTGAGCCATCATTTACCATATCTGAGTTGAATTCTAGTTCTGTATATCTTACAGAAGATTTTTTGCCCAAGGTATGCCAGAAGCCATCTACCAGTATTAACTTAAACACAAAGATCCGACTAAGTGGTAGGCAAATTCTAGTACAGTACTTGAATAGCTGAAGTAGTCAAAAGTACTCGCTGAGTTCCAATAATCTGGAAGTCAGAGGTCATTGTCTCAAGAAACTTGGTTGGGTGGGTTCTTGAACCCTCCCCGAGTTTAATTATTGGCTCTAAAAAACAATCAACTTTTCTCTGTTTTGCTTTTCCTTTTCTTTCTTTTCTTTTGTTTCAACCTTCCTTTCTTATTAGGATAATATTTTTCCTTTACCCATGTTCTCTCTCTAATCATGGTACAAACATCAAAATGTACCCAACATTTTTTGCTGCAGCTTGTTGATTTCGAAAGTTGGAGGACCATTCTTTCAAGATCAGAAAAGAATTCGGACTCTATCAGCAATCAGGGTTCTATTTGTGTTCTTCCGAATTCTCTTGTGAAGCGTGACATGGATGTACAAGGAAACATTTATGCATTCGGTGTAGTTCTACTGGAAATAATTAGTGGAAGACCTCCATACTGCAAGGACAAAGGGTGTTTAGTTGATTGGGTAACGACATGCAAACCTTTAAATTTTGAATATATGTCAGATTTTTTAAGGCAGTCTTAAAGGGCTTATCTCACCGAGGATATACCTAAAACCTAATCTTCTCCCTCTTCTGCAGGCTAAGGAATATCTTGAATTGCCGGAAGTAATGTCTTATTTGGTGGATCCTGAGCTGAAACATTTCAGATATGAAGACCTGAAAGTGATATGTGAGGTGGTGACTCTTTCCATCCATCCAAATCCCACCAACCGGGCATCTGTGCAGGAATTATACGAAAAGTTGGAGAGTGGAATTGACACCTCTGTATCTTGTGAACTTAAAACATCTTTGGCATGGGCAGAGCTTGCACTTTTAGCCTAACCGAGTCGAAGCTAACATACTGTAAATCAGAAATATACTACTGTAACACTCTTTTCATTTTCGTTTCCCTTTGATTACTTGAGTTCATGTATATGCTCATGCGTGACAAATCCTCTTCTAATTGTATACCATAGGCTGATCAGTAAAGTTCTGTAGTTACTAAATTGTGAACTACTGTATTGTTGTGCATTTTTGTGCTCTTCCATTGCTATGTTTATGTCCATCACTGGTTTTTGGCATTGATACATTTCAAAAGATCGTTTAAGAACCGAAATATTTATAATCACCAGATCAATATGATTTTAGCCATTCAATGAAACTCCAATAACTTGGATTTTACATGACAACACAAGCACTCAAAAAATTGCGATGAAGCTCAAGAAGCCACAAGGTTACAAAAAAGAAAAATTACAAAAAAGGGCATAAAGTTTCACTTGATTATGAGTAGAACCAAGTTGAAAGGCCAAAAGGAAAACAAATACATTAGAACCAATTCATAGAGAAGCAGAAGAAAAGGCCCCAATGAAGGAGATTTGAAATCTTTTAGTAACCATATGGCATTACATTGTGTTTGGATTAATGTCCATACCACATCATAGAAGAGGTAGGAAAAAAGGCCCCCCAAGAGTGAAAGTGAGTGTGTGTGGAGCTCAGAGTGCTCGCGATTTCACGATGTCAAGGCTCATCTCGCTGGGATCTGTTGCCTGCAGCTCAACTTGAATGCCGTCCAGTTCTCTCTTGAATCTATCCTTGGAACTGGCGTAGAGCATCTTACTCCTCACCTTCGATGTATCAGGAGACCTACACATTCGAATACATGTCATTCCAGTTCTGCAAATGAAATTTAGGGGTGTGTGTGTTTGTGTGTGTAATTAATTACCATGCAACGAAGAATATTTTGCTTTTCTGGCAGTTCTCATCTGTTGTGAAATCAAAATCGTAGACGGCATAGCGGCACTCATTTTCGGGCATGCTGGCGGCAAAATCATCGTAGCTTTCATCAGGATTCCCAAGTTTCTCAACCGTCACCTGTTGAATCTTTTCCTCAATCTTGAACACAATAAATCTGTAATTCCTCTTTGCTTTTAGCTCCAAGAACTTTAGCTTGCAATCATCGTGCACTGCCATTCCAGATGCCGCGTTCGCCTACCCCCAAACAAAATATTATCAATAATAATCAACAATTTTTAAATAAAAAAAATTCTTGTAACATGTATATTAGGATTAATGTTCTAATTGTAATATTCACAAACCAACTCAATATGAACGATGTAATTAAACAAGAGCACAATACGAGTGGATGTGATTATGCTATATTCATTATAACATAATTTTGAACCAAATCAAATCAATTTGTAGATATCATAGTACTACCCTAAAAAATTGAAAAAGGGTATTTTTTTTTATTTTTTATTTTTTGTGTGTGTTCCTTTACCGTCTTATAATTCTATTAATTTTATTCATGTTGTCATGCAGAAAGGAAACTTGCTCCTAGTCCTTCGATGAGATAGGCTCAAAATAAGACCTTTACCATCCAATGATTGATTGTCGCTAGCACCCCTCTTCACCTTTTGTATATTCTTTCAAAATATGCTTACGACGCTTTCGGACTTCATAGGTTTATACGAAATTATGATCTTCAAATTTAACTTGACAGCTCAAACCACTATGCTTTTGAATGTGATTAGCTTAAAAAACCAACATAGACATAGTGCATGAAAAATCCATCTAGGAAGAGAGAGAGAGAGATTGAGAAAAGAACACCCAAAAAAGGAAAGAATTAAAGAAAAACCAAGACATATATAGTTCAATGCAGACAAGAGATTGTTGAAATACAAAATGATACTTTTGGTGTCTCCTTTAAACAATCATGCAAAATCTTCAATCAACAAAGTTAAACTTACCATTTTGTTTTCACATAATGTTCAATACCAATTGCAACCATGATACATACATACATAAATACATATATATATATATATATATAGAGAGAGAGAGAGAGAGAGAGAGAGAGAGAGAGAGAGAGAGAGAGAGTACCATGTTTGTTGACCAATGAGAGAGGGGCCTTGTGAAAAGTGAAAGGGCGAATGAAGATGGTAAGGAGGGCAGAGAGGATAAATGAGAGTTGGGGGGTGTAAGAAAGAGAAAGGAGATCCTTGATTTTTGGGGTTATTCGAATTTAGAGGTTTTATACATAAAACAAGACAGATTTTGGTGGAGAAAATGATGGTTGGGATTTTTTCTGCTCTTTATTCTCCAACAATGTCCAACTTGACTTGCTTTCACATTCTAAACTTTCAATGGCATGTCCTATCACTCCCTACCTGTTTTTTTTTTTTTTTTTACTATTTCTGCTTAATTTTTGTTCTCCCAATCCAATTTTGGAGAAAGTTGATATACCATTATCTATTTGGGACATTAGCATTTTTTTTTTTTGGGTGCCATTTGGCTGCTTCGATTATTGTTATAACTTATAACAGCATTATCAAATAATTATATATAACATCTTATCATTTACTATATTAAGTAATTTAAATTATAACACCATTTCATTTAGTATAATGACTTAAGATTTGGATTATTTTTATTATTTTTCCTTTCAAATAAAATTTTAAATTATCATTTAACGGTTATGACTATGTCACGTCATCACTTGTGCAATTATCCAACGTATTATATTTACATACATAACTAAATTTAATACAAAGAATGATATAATATGTTACTAACTGTTGGTCATATGGCTTGGAGATGTTGGGAGAAAAAAATAATGAAGAGGATCGGGTACCCGATTGATTGCTGTTATATTTTGTATTGAAATTGGATTATTTTTTCAACAATATACTACTACAATAACCAGTCTCTATGAGGTCAGCTCCGGATGGCTTTTGGGTTCAAAAGTTAAGTGGGCCTGAAGAAGTTCGACATTGTTATCTGTGAAACAATTTCTTTGGTAACTTCATCTATTGGTGTCTTAAGCCCAATGCAAATTGAGATACTGTCAACCAAGAACTGATAAATAAAAGGGTTGTATAGATTATTAGGGAAAAAAGAGAGAGTATATATACGAGTATATTTATTTGATTTTTTTTTTTTAGCACCATACATATATACGAGTATATTTATGAAAAATCATTTTAAATACACGAATTTGAAAGGACTGAGAAGTAGGGAAAAAAAAAAAAAATACAGGCCACAAGTTCCAAATGGACCAATTTTTAATGGACGCAATGATGCTTGGGCCATGTAATTTGGTTCAAAGTCCAAATTTGTTGGTCCAGAGCACACTCCATAACTTGTGCTAAATGATGATGGCTAGTATTTTTCAACTGAATATGACGTGGACAAGTCTATCTTATAACATTCTCTCTCATTCGAATTCGAAGAACACCCTTGTTTCGGTCAGATCATCTTGCTTAGAGAGGTGCACCTGGACACATCTGAGCCGGGTGTTTGGTGTGGCATTGAATCAAGGACTACATCTAATTTTGATACCAACTGTAACAGGTTTTTCGCAATCTGAACCAAAAAACTTAAATTATAAAGTGTGACTACCACCTAACCCATCCCAATCTAGACAAGTCTCCTTGTAAGAATTAGCTGTATTGAATACGTAGTAGAAAAAAAGTGGTTACTTCCAATAGGGACAGAAATAGAAAACTAGATTCACATGAATGTTGGAATCAATTAATACATGGTTTCATAGCTTAAACTTCATGGTTTAAATATATATATACATATATTTTTTATATTTAGGGTAACGTCAGAGATGTTGCCGCCAATAATTTTAAATTGCACTGAACAAGTCAGAATCCCCCAAATAAACTAGGTTCAATAGTTTGATGATGCAATGTTTTTGTTAACTCATGAATTTAAAATAATTTCCGATTTGTAGGGAAATTGACTTTTTTTTCCTTATTAGGAGTATAACTTGGAAATGGTAAGTTGGTAACTCAAATTCAAATTGAATTCTACTTAATTTTTGGCCAGTCTTATCAGCATTTTTTAAATTAAACAAGTTGTGGTATTGGAGATTTTTTTTATTTTTTTTTATTTTTTATTTTTATTCCTTGACAGAAAAACTAATACACAACTAAAACGTTGACATCTTATTTTGAATTACTTTAAGAAGTAGAAAAGATACAAAAGATTCCAGACTAATGGATCAATGAATTATTGATGGGTCCTAATTAATTCCTAAATATATAGATCAATGAATTATTGATAAATGAAATCCTTTGTTTACCTGCATTAGGGCATTTCGATAGGTATTGCTTTAAACAATAATAGCCTCGAACATCTGTACATTTTGTTACACAATCACGCTAGTCTTTGATCTTTAGTGGGCGGGGATTTGCGACTTGGACAAAAAGATTAAAAATATATATATGAAGAATAAGAAGTTTCAAAACATGTTATTTCTAAAACATTCAAAAAAAAAAAAAAAAAAAAAAAAATAATTGTAACCATCTAAATCATCATGTATAATTCCAAAATATAAATAAGAAAATATATAAATCTCTAAATACATCTAACTATTTTAACTTTACAATGACGAGAACCTTACAAACTGGATTTATCCTTTTTATTAAAGAGAGCTAGCTATTGGAAGAAAATTTTATAACAAAACCAAAAACAAAATTTAGAACTTAAATCTTGCAAATTCAGTAAGTTATAAACTTATAACACGTGAAAACAAAACATCTAAACATCAACGTCTGGCAAAAGCATAAATGAAAATTTGATTGAAAATTTACAGCAGCCAAAGAGATGAGCTTTATTATTAGCCCTAAATTTACATTTACTTTAATGAAAATTCAATATTTTTGGATTTCTACGAGAAGTAAAAGTGTTTAAGTTTAATAATTTTATAAAAAAAACGAAGAAGACGTAGTTCAATTAGAGGGACTTATTTGTTTATTAAAAGGGCATATTTTCTATGCAGTAGGGTTACATATTTCTTAATTAAAGGAACATCTTGTAAAATTATATATATATATAAAATAAGCAAAATGAAAATTCAGGAGGGAAATATATATATATATATGCAAGACGAGAATAATAAACAATGGACCTATATGGTTCTTCCTTCCTTGTATGAAGTAAAAATATGCAAGACAAAATTCATTTAAATTAGAGCTTATTCCTCATAACACGCGAAAAAAAAAATCTGCGCTGAAAACAAAAACACTTCCATCATTAGATTGTTCAACAATAATTTAAAATTAGGGTTTTGACATTTACGATAAAACTTTTAACCACCGATGAGCGAATGACACTCCGATGTTACGGTTAGGCGGAACATGCACGCATAGTTTTTTAACAATTAAAGTTAAAATAAAACCATGTCTCGATGCATCGTGACATTAAATCTTTTTTTAATCTTTTATGGAAGATTAGGGCCCAAGAAATTTGACTTTTCTGAACCTAGCCCATATTGGTTGAGAATTGGGCCTTTGTGGACTGGTTCTGAATCGTGTTGCATTACGCAGTGGGATAAGGATAAGCCTATTAAGTTTGTTAATCCAATCCAAAAGCTATGTCATCACCCAGATTAAAAAACCTTTGCGTCTCCATCTCAACCGTTCGATTTGTGTTGACAAGGCATGGCAAATGGAATCAGCACGAACATGATTGGAGCAGTAAATAATAAATAGTCAGAAGAGAATGAAAGGACCTTTTTTGTATTATATATATATATATATATATATTTATTTATTTATATGTATATATATGAATTTGTTTATGGAATCCACAAAGATACTCTTGTAGTAGATTTGATTGGTTTTTGTTTTGTTGGTGAATTGCTCTATTTATTCTTTTTTAAAAGGTCATATTATAATTACACTTCAAACATAAAATTTTACAGTAACTGTAAAGATGGGAATCTTAATTTCATATCATCTATTATATTCAACATTTTAAAATTAATTTTAGAGAGTCTTGTGTGAGTGGAACTCATATGAAATTAAGTAGGAGTGTAGGACATTTCTCACTAACCTAAAAAGGTAGAATGTGTCTACTTATTATTATTAATTTTTTTTAAATTTAATAACTTCATTTCATGATAATATTAGTAGCCCGTTCCATCTTTTACCCTCAATTAAATTTATAGGTCGTCATTATACTCTCCTGCCACTGCCACCACACTCATGAGAAGCCAATGACTCATTTTAACTCGCTAAATGAGTGAACCTAAAGCAACCACCTAATATCGAGGTAGAAGACCACAAAAACAAATTTATGGCGCTCAATGATGGTAGCAGATGTGATTTTTGAAGTATTAGGACGGTAGTTTGGTGGATCCCTTCATCCCTAACTTGCTTGGAGACAAGGAAGAGGACCATGAGGACGAAGTTCCCATGCTAGGTGGCAATGAGAACGACGAGAGGTTGCTAATGGCATGGCGGTGTTTGCAAAATGGTTAGTCGGAGTGATGGTGGTTGGGATAATGAGGATGGGGGTTAGGCACTTTAATGGAGATCACATGTGATGTCATTAAATGAGTGGTGTGACGCACGATTAATGAAAAATTGATAGAAATTAAATGAACACCTATTATTCTTGTTCAAAAAAATGTGAGGAGAAGCTTAATTTTCCAAACATTTTTTTATTTTTATGAAAATTGATTCTTTATTCACCTTCAATTTGTGATATTGATAAGTTCTCACCCACCATTAATTTGAAAGCTAATAAAACTTGTTGTGCGATTGATTCAGTTGACATATTCGGAGAGTGAATCATTATTTTATATATATTAACTCGGAGAAAGAATCTTTGATTCTATCTGTTCCCCACTGGCAAAATGTATTGGAAGCTGAGGAAGGAAGGCTCAAGTGCCTCAACTGTTACTCCAATCCACTCATTCCTTTGAAAAAGCCCGCGAATGTTGCGAGGTGGGCCCCACACCTATGGCCCGCGTCATTTGGAGGGAATTAATTCCTTAACAAACCAAATCGTTTTTTAAAAGGCAGTTAAGATAATTCTAGTGGGCCCATTTGTCTTTCCCAGTTCCATTACGCCATTGGACCCATTTGTCTTTCCCAGTTCCATTACGCCATTGGACCCAAATAATCCTCCATCGTCCGATAGAAAAAATAAATACTAATCCAATACGTATTCACAACCCTCTACGTAAACGAATTCAAAACCCTATATATGTGTTTGGTGTATCTCTATGGTCTATATATATGTATAGCCGCTCCAGCAAGAAAGGTGAAGTAACAAATCCAAGTTACTAGAGATAGTAAGAGAGAGAGAGAGAGAGAGAGAGAACCTGTATGTAAGAAGTACCAAACGAAAGGAATAACGAATATAATATATATATATATATTTGTAGAGAGAGAGAGAGAAGTGGTGAAATGGCGACCAAATTTCTGTCACTGGCGTGTATTCGGGATGAGAGTCGGAGAGATCTATCGCCGAGACCTCACTATCCGTCGATGCCGAAGTATCCGAAAGGCGTGTCGGCGGACGACGAGAAGAAGATGGAAGGATCGGAGGTGACGGCGTTGTTCTCCGTCATCGGAATGACGTGCTCGGCCTGTGCTGCTTCCGTCGAGAAGTCGGTCAAGCGGCTTCCGGGGATAAAGCAGGCCGTGGTTGATGTGTTGAATAACAGAGCTCAGGTCATGTTCTATCCCAGCTATGTCAATGTAAGCTCGATCACCTCTCGTTTACATATCTAGGTTTTATTTGATTACATTATAGTTGATTCGATCATTTTCTATTGTGTTATATATGTCTTTGATCAGTATGTGGTGTTTGTTTTTATCGCTTAATTTTCAAATTATTATTTGGATTTTAAGCCAGATCGAACAATCTAAAATTTCAAATGAAAACAATTTTTCTAATATTTATACATATGAGAATCTATATATATATATATATGTACGTGTTCATTTGTTTTTACGGCTTAATTTTCAAATTATTCTTTTGATTTCAACCTGTTTTAGGGTTTAATTTTCAAATTGTTCTTTAGATTTCAGCCAGATCGAACAATACAATTACTTCTAGTTAATATATACACGTGTGTATATATATACCCACTAGGAATCAATGGTAAGTCACTTGGGTCCGGTGTCACATGCATCAAGTCAAAGGTTCGATTCCCCTTGGAACCACACCTATGGGTGAAATGCCCTTGTTTTACTCAACTCGTTCAGGCAGTTCGAACAATAAATTGAGCCCCAGGCAGTTCGAACAGTAAATTGAGCTAATATTTCAAATGAAAAAACAAATTGTTTCTAAACATTTTCATACACACACATCTATATGGATATTATAGATTCTCAGCAGTTAGCCAAATGATAGTAGTATTTCTGAACTCTGGCGAACATCCTCTTCATTTCCCTATCTGAAAGCATCCTTTGCGTTGAACCTATGGATATGCTAGCTAGAATTGTTTGAGGTCATGCTAGATTTATTTGATAGTGATTAAACCGAACATTGAAATTGATTAATTTGTTCTCTTAAATTTACTATAGAAGTGTAAAACCTTATGTTTAACACCAAAAGATCCATTTCAAAGTGGTTGCAATAAATATAAGATACAAGATTAATCTAAGGGATATTATAGATTGCCATAGAATGTTTTGATGCTTCTAGAGAAAAACTTATGTACTTGAATTCCTTTAGATTTTGAACTATGGAAAGCAACATCTCTTACTCTTAATATATTAAACATATATAGTGACCCCTAGAAAATTAAGGTCTAGTGGGGTTTCACGAAGACTTAACCTCGGATGATATTCTAGTTCAAAACATTTTTTTTTGCTTACGGTACTCAACTTGTTCTAACCCCGCGATGCCCCAACATGCCATCAGTTTGAGCTTAACTAAGCTTCATGGTATATCACTTTATCTATGCACAGCCACTCACCAAGCTGTATGATATAGCAGAAGAACCACTAGCTAGCTAGCTTCTGGTCTTCTATTTACTACTGGAATGTATTTCTTTCTGCGTATTCATAGCTCTCCTCAGCTTTTTTGGCCTTGCTTGTACAGTTCTACACATTTATAAAATAGTATTTGACTTACCAATAAACAAAAAAATATTGTGCCATAGCAGGCTAATGTTGATTGGCAAAGTCTAATTAATTTGTGCCCTTTGTGTGAAGGTTAGTTATTTCAATTGGTTTTCCCATCCATAAGAGACACAGACTTTTGTCATCTTCTTTCTTGTCTGAAACCAATCTTACTCTGTTTACTATTCGCTTTTATTCTTTGGGCTAGTGATTTCATGGAAACATACAGAGGATTTTTGTAAATTAATTTATCATAATAAAGTAGAAAATGATTCCATTTTAATAGATCAGCAATAGTCCTTATTCTATTGTCTGTGATTCTCATATCCTGGTAATAGCAAGAACGTTTTTTTTTTTTTTTTGGTATGTTGATAACAAGAATATTTCTAGTGGAACATCTTTCACAATCCCTGGATAGATGGTTCGCAAATAGACCAAGGGATAAGTAATGAGTCTAAGTTTCATATTAATATGAATAGAGAAAATAATAAAATTCCGGCAATAATCCAGCACATTGAGAAAACATAAGCAAGCGAGTGGTATTTGTTAGAAACAACATAATGAAGGCGGATAGATAAAGGGATAATGGAGCCCTAGGAATCAACAATGTGCGCTGATGAGCACATTGACTCAAATTGGAGAAGAATATGGTCCTTGGGTTCCCTTTATTGGAACTATGTTTTCTATTTATTTTTGTTTCTAATTGGTCGGGAGCTCTTTTACCTTGGAATATAATACAATTACCCCATGGAGAGTTAGCCGCACCCATGAATGATATAAATACTACTGTTGCTTTAATGCACCTGCATATTGGTGTTACTATAGTATAGTTACCAATTGGTAGAACTAAAGCAGCTATGTTCTACTGTTGCTATGTACTATACATATTTTATGATTTCTTGTTCTGTATGTTAGTTGGACTGGGTATGGGGTGTTGGGTTTTAGGTTTTAAAATGATTCTTCTAGTATAACAAGATCTACTTGATCTTTACACTTTAGGACACAAATAGGAGATGATTAAACTATTTAAATTTTCTATGTGAGAGACCTATTTGGCATGTAAATATAATAAGCACCGTGATCATTTATTATTTACTCTTATCCATGTTTAATATTACTCTTATCATTTATATTTAGCACTAGTGATCCTGCAGATTTTTATAATAGACAATAAGAATTCTAAATGCATATACCGATCAGTGAAAGGATTACTCACAATTTAATCCAGTATTAAATTCATTATGTTCCTTTGTTGCAGATAATATATTGTTTCTCTATCGTTCTCTTTCCATTTGCTTCCATTCCTTATTTCTGTTGGGATTGCTATGTTATGAAACATTTTCTTCTAATATGCTTATCATATCACTTACTTGGTAGGAAGAATTTATCATTTTGCTCCAATGTGTAGGAAGAAACAATCCGTGAGACCATTGAAGATGTTGGATTTCAGGCAACATTGATTAAAGAAGACATGAATGAGAAATCTACATGCCGAATCAGCATAACAGGGATGACTTGCACTTCTTGCTCCACAACTGTTGAATCTGCTTTGCAGGGAATTCCTGGCGTACAAAAAGCCCGAGTTGCATTGGCAACTGAAGAAGCAGAAATTAGTTTTGATCCAAAGATGGTGAATTACAATAAGCTTTTGGAAGCCATAGAAGATACTGGATTTGGTGCCATACTGATTAGCACTGGGGAAGATAGGAACAAAATACACTTAAAAATTGATGGAGTACGGACTGATCATTCCATGAGAATAATTGAAAATTCTCTTCAAGCACTTCCAGGAGTTCAAGATATAGACATTGATCATGAGCTTAAAAAGTTCTCCATTTCTTATAAACCAGAAGTTACAGGACCTAGAAATTTTATTCAGGTGGTTGATAGAACTGGATCTGGGCGTTACTCGGCAGCTATATATCCTGAAGGAGGAGGAAAAGAATCCCGTGGACAGCAAGAAATTAAGCAATACTACATGTCCTTTCTTTGGAGTTTGGTTTTCACAGTTCCAGTTTTTTTAGCCTCTATGGTCTTTCATATGTATCTGAAAACAAAAGTTGTCAATATGCTGACGGATGGAGAGATTATAAGGTGGGTGCTATCCACTCCAGTACAGTTCATTATTGGAAGACGATTCTACACTGGTTCATACAAAGCACTGCGCCATGGCTCTGCTAATATGGATGTTTTAATCGCTTTGGGAACAAATGCAGCCTACTTCTATTCAGTTTATTCCGTGTTAAGAGCTGCAACTTCTCCAAATTTTAAGGGCACAGATTTCTTTGAGACTAGTGCAATGCTCATTTCTTTTATACTACTTGGCAAGTATTTGGAGGTTTTGGCCAAGGGAAAGACATCAGCGGCAATTGCCAAGCTTATGGACTTGGCTCCGGAGACAGCAACACTCTTAACTCTCAATGATGAAGGAAATGTGATAAGTGAAGAAGAAATAGATAGTCGGTTGATACAAAAAAATGATGTGATTAAAATTATTCCTGGTGCAAAAGTAGCTTCAGATGGTTTTGTCATTTGGGGGCAAAGCCATGTAAATGAGAGCATGATAACTGGGGAAGCCAGACCAGTGGCAAAGAGAAAGGGTGATGCAGTGATTGGAGGCACTGTAAACGAGAACGGGGTATTACATATTAAGGCAACACGCGTTGGATCAGAGAGTGCTCTGGCACAGATTGTTCGGCTTGTTGAATCAGCACAGATGGCTAAAGCTCCCGTGCAAAAATTTGCTGATCAAATCTCCAAATATTTTGTTCCTCTGGTGAGTATTGAAATGCTTTCTGCACTCTGAATTTCTTGCATTAATCCTGTTAAAGTGAGACTAACAAATGTAGATGGGCACAATTGAGGGACATTTCTCAGCCTCTGTTAACAATCGGCAGTATTTTGTAGGTTATAACTCTCTCGCTTTCCACATGGCTCGCCTGGTTTTTAGCTGGAAAGTTCAATGCCTACCCAAAATCCTGGATACCTTCTTCCATGGACAGTTTTCAGCTTGCACTCCAGTTTGGCATCTCTGTCATGGTCATAGCCTGCCCATGTGCTCTTGGCCTCGCCACTCCTACTGCTGTCATGGTTGGCACTGGAGTGGGTGCTACTCAAGGTGTTCTTATCAAAGGAGGTCAGGCACTAGAAAGTGCTCATAAGGTCACCATCTGCACTTATCTTTTTCTTTGCCTTTATGTATGCATAAAAATTGTAAAGTGAAAACAACAAAAACTCTTTTTGCAGGTGAATTGCATTATATTTGACAAGACTGGGACTCTGACAATTGGCAAGCCAGTGGTTGTTAACACAAGGCTCTTGAAAAATATGGTACTTCGAGACTTCTATGAACTGGTCTCTGCAGCTGAGGTAAAGTTTTCTGTTCAGCACTTCCTTAATTGTGATATAATTTTATATAGATAGAGAGTAGAAATACTTAATCACATCTCTGGCCTTAGAAATAACTTTAATGTTTTCTAAAACTAGGGCTAAGAAAAATGGCCTAGCTAAAGAACTTGCATTTGCTTGGGTTGGGCTAAGAAAAATGGCAAAATTTAGTTCAAAAACCATTTTCATATTCCAATATTGCTAGCAGCCCCTTAATGTCCATTATTCTTGAAGGTCTCCTAACAAACAAGTGACGATATTGTTGTTGTATTTTATCAGGTAAACAGTGAGCATCCCTTGGCTAAGGCTGTTGTTGAGTATGGCAAGAAATTTAAAGATGAAGAGAATCCTGTCTGGCCAGAAGCTCGAGACTTTGAATCCATAACTGGTCACGGTGTTAAGGCTGTTGTTCGGAACAAGGAAATACTAGTGGGAAACAAGAGCATGATGTTGAACCACAACATTGCCATTCCAATTGATGCTGAAGAAATGCTTGCAGAAACTGAAGAGTCAGCTCAGACAGGAATTCTTGTAGCTATAGATGGGGAATTGACAGGAGTTGTAGCCATTTCTGATCCATTGAAGCCTACTGCTCAGGAAGTCATTTCCATTCTCAAGTCTATGAAAATCAAGAGCATAATGGTGACAGGTGACAATTGGGGAACTGCAAATTCCATTGCCAAGGAAGTTGGAATTGACACTGTCATTGCACAAGCCAAGCCTGAAGATAAAGCAGCGAAAGTGAAGGAATTTCAGGTATAAAATTGAATTAATTATACCATGCATGTTCACTTTAAATGTCACTAAATTATCTTGACTATTTATTCATGGTTATAATCCATATATAAACTTCATTCCTCTCATTCTGATAATTATAAATCTAAAATCCTCAGGCAGCAGGCGATATTGTGGCAATGGTAGGAGATGGGATTAATGACTCGCCAGCACTCGTGGCTGCAGACGTTGGAATGGCAATTGGTGCGGGCACAGACATTGCCATTGAAGCAGCTGACATTGTTCTCATGAAGAGCAATTTGGAGGATGTGATAACTGCCATCGACCTCTCGAGGAAAACCTTTTCCAGGATCCGTTTGAACTACATTTGGGCATTGGGTTATAACATCCTTGGCATCCCCATTGCTGCTGGGGCTCTCTTCCCATCAACCGGCTTACGATTACCCCCATGGATTGCTGGAGCTGCAATGGCAGCCTCTTCAGTTAGTGTTGTGTGCTGTTCTCTCTTGTTGAAGAATTACAGAAGACCCAAGAAGCTGGAGAAGCTTGAGATAAGAGGAATAACAGTTGAGTGAATGATTGTTGTGTCTTATCTCAAAGTTGTCCAGCCGAATGATTGTGATTGTTAAAATTCAGCATTTTGTAGATCCATGTAGTACTAAAGTTTGTCTATGATCAAGTAATAGGTCAATGAATATTGTATAAAAGGGGTGTTGTTTGCTTTCTACTTATGTATATATAATTGTTTTGATCTTTAGCTCTTCTGAATAGATCAGTTAAAAAATGAACAGAAACTATGTTAAGTATCAGCCTGCAGAATATTGAAATTGAAAAAGAACAAGGGATATAGTGTCATTTGAGGACAAGTGGGATAACAAAATTGTTGTAGTCTGATTTTGTTCTTCTTTGGGCATTACCCGTGGCCTAGTTGATAGAGCGCACATTTTCCCAGGTGTGCCAGTGTTGAGTCCCTGTCCCCCTCCCCTAGTTTGCCAGAATTTAAAAAATAAAATAAAAAAGATTTTGTTCTTCTATACCTTGCTGGGATTGATGATGGGAGGATAAATGAGGTTTATATGCAAGTGATAGCATGTCTTACATGGAAACTTCTAGTTTTGAGATCTGAGCAAAACTATCAGGGATTCGAGCTATGCCAACTTTATAAAAGAACACAATGTTCAAATTCCTCCAAGAATGAGATATTGAGACTACTAAATCAAGAAGATACAGTGAAGTGTGAACCAAGAACTGACGTAAGGGTTGAATACTTGTATTTTGTAGTCAATGTCATGCTTTACATAATGGGCTTTTGGGTTGGACTATAGGCTCCCTTTGCGTATTCAACAAGATTATGAAGAACTCACAAGTCTCTAAATATACAGGTTACAAGGCCCAAATGGAATATTTGTTGGACGCAATGGTAAGTGGGCCTCGTCATTTGGTTCAAAGTCAAAATTTGTTGGTTCAGAACACTCCCAAAATGACAAAAATATGCTGATGCTAATTCGGAGGATACGATCAAAATAATATCAAATGTTCTTATGACGTAACTTTGAAACATTTTCTTTAAAAAAATAAAAACACAACAACAACAACACTTGGTGAACATCAGAGCTGTTGGTAACTTGGTAAACATAAGAGGTCGCTGCCGACAATTTAAAATTGAATTGAACAAGGCAGAACCTAAATTGCCATCGAACAAGGTGGTTTAAAAGTTTGATAAAGCCAACAGGGATGGAGGCACCATAGGCCCACAAGGGCCAGCTGTCTCCCAGAATTCCCATATATGAGTAATCCATTTTTCTCTTTTCATATATTCCAAAGTTGTCCTCTTTAAAAAGTCAAAACATTTTTTCATTATATTTTTATTATTGTCCTTTATTTTTTTTTTTAAATTTCAAACTTTGTAACTATATATATTTAAGGGTTAATTACACTCACACTCTTAAGGTTTCACTTATTGATAGTGAGATGATACTTAACCATTATTTGGACATTAACACCCCCTGTAAGCATTTTCATTTTAAAAATTAGTAAAATATCCATATTACCCTCCATTATTTAATTCATTAATTATAACAAAATATTAGGGAAAATTACATATAAATAGAGTCAAAGTTCCATATTTACTTAGAGACTGAGTCAAAGTTCCATATTTCTCTCAAATGGATTGTTGAGGTGGCACATGATTTTTTACTGTTTAGAAATTGTGGTGCCTAAAATACTCTTCCGCGAAGGTATTACTTTTTCTTCGAAGGTACTACTTTTTTGAACTGAAGGTACTACTTTTTGGCATCCAGGTACCATGTTTTTTAAACACCCGCGAAGGTACTACTTTTTCTCCGAAAGTACTACTTTTTTGCACTGAAGGTACTACTTTTTTTCACTGAAGGTACTACTTTTTTGTTAGGGAAGGACATTTTAGGCACCACAATTTTCTAAGTAAAAAACCATGTGCCACCTCAGCAATCCATTTTAGAGAAATATGGAATTTTGACTCAGTCTCTAAGTAAATATGAAACTTTGACTCCATTTATATGTAATTTTTTCAAAATATTATAAGTGCAAAATGACCAAAACAACCATCATAATTACCCTTTATTATTTAATATATTTACTACTTTCTCTTTCTAACCTATCAGTCCCTCCTCATCTTGCTCTCGTTGATTGCAAATACCGACCGAGATGGAGGGACTTTCTTCCTTTTCCCCTTCCTCTCCCATCACCCAACCCCTCCTCTCCAAACTCCCTACCCTCACCCTTACCCTTTCCCTTCGGCCTTCACCCATCGACGAACCACCACCTCCCAACCAGAAGACCAGCTAGTTGTGCACAACAGTTGCGATCTGGCAACACAAATCATCCACAGTAGACTCGAAGTAGTGTGCCTTGGCGATGATCAGATCGAAAAGCTCACAGCCGGCACAAACCTCCATCACCAAATTGTTGAGGCCATTGGATGGTGGATATGGTGATGGGACGGAGCCATCAACTCCACCGGCGGCGTCAGGCAAAGTTAATTTGGGGAGAAAAAATCTTGAAGACCCCTTGCAAAAAATCTAGTTATATACATAATATTTACATATGCTAAGTTCTGTTGATATTATATATATCCTTATATACAAGGAGGTGAGAAATTGATTTGGATATATATTTATATATATATCCTTATATACAAGGAAGTTGTATCTCTCACTCAATTTTAGTGATCCAATCAAGAATGTCATAATTCAATTTTTTCCCCTGTTTATTCATTTTGGTTTTGGACTTCTGATCGTCTATGGTTATTTTGCTTGATTATAGGGTTTATTCTCTCTCTATATATAACTGTTACTTGGTATAAGTTATCTTTCCCTAAATTATGTTCCCTAATCTAATGGATTTTCAATTTATCTCCTAATTAATTAAAAATTTGTTATATTTTGTGAGTTTTGAGCGTGTGTGTATATATATATATATATATATATATATATATATATAAAAGATATGTATATATATATTTTGTGGTGATGGATTGTGGGGTGGCGGTGGTAGCTATGGTGGTAGAGGTGTGGAGATAGGGAGGGCAATAGTGGGTAGAGAGAGAATGGGAAGAGGAGGCGAGGGTTAGTTTGGTTTAAGAAAATTACTTTCAAATGTTAAAGGACAATAATATCAATTCATCATGTATCAGGTGGCATTGGCATTGGCATTGGATAGCTTTGTTAACTTTATCAAATATGAGGGGTATTGTTGTTAAAAAAGAGTTTAACTTTCATTTAGTTGTTAATAAGGTAAACTTCAGGGGGTGTGAGTGTAATTAATCCTATATTTAAATTAAAAAGGATAATTTGATAAATTTAAAAGTAGACAATGCATTAATTGCATGTCCCCTTAAAAATTTCAATTTCTAAACATAAACTTTTATTTAGGAACGAAGGGAGTATATATTTATATATATAATTTTATAACAAAATAACCCTTTAATTAACAATGTGCCCCCTAATTAGCAAACATGTCTTCTAGGCCCTACTTGACAAATATGACTTCTTTTACAAAAACATTAATCTTACCCATTACCCACCCTTTTACATTCTCTATAAATCCAAAATATTGGTTTTTCATTATTAAAAAAAAATGTAGATTTTAGGGATTATATTAAAGCTATATTTGGTTGCTTAGAATTTTCAATTAAAGATATAGGTTTTCTCTAGTAAATGGAGAAGTGTATAATTTCTCATTGTTGCAGACGTAGTTTGGAGGGAAATCCAAAACAAACCATATGGTTTTTTAAAAGGCAGTTATCTCTAGTGGGACCCGCATGTCTTAGCCATATCATTACGCATGGGACCCAACGGATAAGAAACCATTGAACTTCTAATTCGCATTCACAACTCTCTGCTTAACATTTCCGTCTATATTAACTTACATGTGTTTGTATGTGTGTGTATATATATATATATATAGGCGGTTCAGCAAGGAATTGGTGAAGAAACAAACGGAAGTTTTGAGAGAGAGAGATCCTGAACTAAAGGAATAACCTATATATATATAAAGAGAGAGAAAGATCGAGAGTGTAAAATGGCGACCAAGTTTCTGTCACTGGCGTGTATTCGGGATGAGAGTTGGAGAAAATTATCGCCGAGACCTCACTATCCATCAATGCCGAAGTATCTGAAAGGCGTGTCTATGGACGAGGAGAAGAATATGGAAGGATCGGAGGTGACGGCATTGTTCTCAGTCATCGGAATGACGTGCTCCGCCTGTGCTGGCTCCGTCGAGAAGTCGATCAAGCGGCTTCCGGTAATAAAGCAGGCCCGTGGTCGATGTGTTGAATAACAGAGCTCAAGTCATGTTCTATCCCACCTTCGTTAATGTAAGTTCGATCACCTTTTATATATATATAGGTTTTGTTTGATTTATAGTTAATTTGATCATTTTCAATTGTGTTTATATATATCTATATTTATATATTTGATGAGCTTTAAATTAATTGAAGCCGAACCATCGACTATGTATAGTAATTTTTAATTGAATTGAAAATCAACGGAAAAACCTAATTTTACTCAAATAAAAACTATTTTGTATAGTTCAATAAGCAGGCCAAGAAAAGTTTCTTTTGGTTAAAAAAAACCTTTTAGAAATTATATTAAATTTGATACTTGTAAGTAGTATGGGCATTACCCAGTTAGTTGATAAAGAGTTCAGCTGGAGCGTGTTCATGTTCAAATCCACTAGATTGATACTGACAAATTATAGTGAAACTATTTTTGTTCCATGTGGGAAGTTGGGAACAAGCTAGGTTTTGGAGGAGATAATCCGAAAAAATTATTACAAATTTAATAAAAATAATTTAATATCAATTTTGGACGAGTTATTTTACACTCTCCACCTGATAGACTCCGAAACAAACGAACTTTGAGATTCATCTATTTGATGCAAATAATCTTTAGAATGTAAAAACCTGAACTTTACCGGACTAGAAAAGCCCTGAATACCTATATTACTTTGAAAATAAAAAAACTAAAAAAGGGTTGTGGTCCTGCGGAGGAGATCAGCATTCCACTTCCCCATATATATATATATGTATATATAATACATTAATACAGTACTATACTACTAATATATTAGTACTAACTTAAGGAGAAAGGACCTTTTATTCCCACTGGGGGAATGGGAAGCTGAGCAAGGCTGGAGTGTACTGCCCCACTCATTCCTTTCAAAAAGCCCGCGAATGTTGGGAAGTTGGGGCCACACTCGCAACTGTGGGTTTGGAAT